CCCCCCCCCCCCCCCTTAACTACATTTGAGTTTTGGTTGTGATGGTGGATTATCAGAAGTGTCATTACAAAAGAGGACGTGGTCATCTACTGTCTTAACATGCTTATCCCATACTTCATAAAATAAGTCCCTTGTGTGGGCGGCCCAAGTTATAATCCAGCTCATGCCATTTCGAAATCCCACCCCCAATTTCCTCTCAGTAAAAATGACAAAGGCCCCCCTAAATTTCTTCTTTCTAACTGAGCAGAAAACAGATTTCATCTACTGTTTCCTTTACCTCAAAGTATGCACATTTTCTCTGTACTTCTGATATCTAACATTCTTCTCTCTTTATTAGACTGTGGTCACAGTCTGTTCGGTTTTGAGGGAGATTTATTGCAAGTATGATTTGGGAATGTGTCACTTTGGAGATTTGAAAGGGATTTTTCATATTTAATGCTTAGACTTGATTTGGGTAATGAAACAATTGTACAGTAGAGTGATCAGTGAAACATACATCACAACATGGTTATATGAGCAAACTAGACTTTTAGTGGTTCGTACAGTATGTCAAACCATCATTTTGTATCAGATATTTGAAGAGTCTTCAGGGCTTTTTGGTGTGAGTTTCATAAAATTCTACATGTACTTATTTTGATGAGAAATAATTACAGATGGTGCTGTGTTGCATGATCATAAATCTCTTTCCTTATGTAAAGTGTCAAATATTTCATTTTGCCAATTTCTTGGTCACCAGCCATCATTAAAAATTCAAAGCTAATTTTATAAACTTAATTTCAGTGACAGTAAAGCCTTTTGCATTGTTACATTGTTTCCAATAAATGCTGTTCTTTTGAACTTTTTATTTCTTAAAAGACAAAAAAATGTATCACGGTTTAAATATTAAGCAGCACAACTGTTTTCAACACTGATAATAATTTGAGCACCAAGATCTTCATATTAGAGTGACTTCTGAAGGATCATGTGAGGCTGAAGACTGTAGTAATGCATGATGACAATTCAGCTGTGCCATCACAGGAACACATTACATTTTAAAATATATTAAAATAGAAAACAACTATTTGAAATTGTAATAATATTTCACATTATTAGGGATTTTACTGTACTTTTAATCAAATAATTGCAGTCTTATCTAACAATAATGATATTCTATATAAACATCAATATCCTGACAAAAGCTTTAATAAAATTCCAAAACAAAGTATATTTATCAAAGAACTCATTTTAAATGGAGTAAACAATTTCATGGGGCTTCTAGCTGTGCAATCCACATATATAACTTCTGCATGCAACCAATAAGTCTGCATTGCTTTCCCAAGACTAATTACAACAAACATTGTGGGAACACATACTTGGAAAATCTTGGTTCACAAACTGTCATCACAAATGGGAATGTTATTATATAAATTGAGCTGGTTAAAGATCATCTATCAGTAAAGGGCATCTTTTTTCAGTATTTTCACAAGAAACATTTTAAGCCTTTCTTTACACTTCAAAATAAAAGTGCATTTACAGTGGGTCTTTTTAACAAATAGCATTAACAGCAGCAATCGTTGTCCCCTAACATGTTTAAAGTTTATGGCCCGCCTAACTCAGAAACTGGAGTATCAATATAATTTTTGAGTAGTAAATACGACTTCAGAGGCTGTTCATGTCCAATTTCTAATGAGAAAACTCGTAATTACGATAATTTTGATAGCACGGGAAGGCAGCATAAAGCGTGCTCTGGCCCGGAACGTAAAGTGCAATGTGAGTGGAGTGCAGGCCAGCGGGGGAGTGGGGAGGGGGGACAATCGCGCTCGGGCTCGGTTCAAGACAACCGTGCCTATAGTGTGTGTACACCCTTAAATGTTATTAGCAAAGACAACAGTATATGAAGAGATAAACTTTGTTGAATATGGAGAAACTCTAGTCAGTACAGTGCTTATTCATCTTTTGCCCTTTGGCTTGCAGAGATTCTGTTCAGCAGTTTGGGTTCTTTAACCACTCGTTGTCTGGAGGGTAAAATAATCAGCGCTCGGTGGCCAGATTGCAATAAGAGGCTTAAACTAGTCGTGGATTTTAGCATTGAAAATAATTAGGCTTCTGGCGATTATATGATGTAAATTTTTTCTGTGCGGTCTATGGCGATGCTTAAATCCTGACATGGAGTCAGATTATTTGTTTGTGCCTGGCCCAGACATCGGGCATGTTAAGCAGTTAAATTTAACATGACTGTAAAGTGTTGTGTGGTTTTGTGACTGGTAAAGTGACTAACAGTGGACTTTTTACTCTAATGTAACCGCCCTCAACTGAAATTAAACCAGCTTTCTTACATTTCTACACTTTGTTGAATTCCATAAAACCTCTCAAAGAAAATATCTGGGTCAAATTCACTCACAAAACTAAAATAAAGAAATAAATACACTACAATTCAAAAGTGTGGGGTTGGTAAGATTTGTTTTTGAAAGAAGTCTCTTTTGCTCACCAAGGCTGCATTTATTTGATCCCAAAAACAGTAAAAAATAGTAATATTGTGAAAAAAATTTACAGTTTAAAATAACTGCCCTCTGTTTTAATATATGTTAAAATATAGGCAGCGGCTATTCACACTAAGTGAAAATAGCAGTATTTTCTTAGCGATATGCTATTTTCACTAAATGCCAATAACTATACTACTTATTGCAAATAGTGGCAATTCTCTGCACCTCAGTATTGTAGTACATTATAAAACAGTATGCAATAATAAAGCATTGAGTGTAAATTATCATTTTAATTCAAATTATTAAATGGATGCCACCTTATTGGGACAATATAAGCCCTCCCTACACCTACCCTAACCCTACCTGATACGTTATTTTCAACTTTTCAATTATTTTCTTCATTTGTATTGAAAATAAATGCCTTTCCGATGTGATATGAGATTTGAAATGGGAGAAAAAAGTTCGGCAAAAGATGTTTCGAACTCTGGTCGGTCGCGTCAAAAATGACTAGCACACGCTTTACCATCTACGCCACTGGAGCTGATCGTCTTTTGTAGTGTTGACTAGCAATCACACATTGGTGGGCGGAGTTAGTGTAAATAGTTAGTGTAAATAATAAAACAGTATTATAATAATGCTAAAGGCATTATTTTCTTTATGCAAAATATATATGAATTACTCCTTATTTCTGAGTAATACCATCTGAAATCAAGTGTTTTCTCATTCATTGGTCACTGGACCACCACGCATTTATCCATTTTCATATTGTGCAGAGAAGAGGGTAGGAGATTGTGTTGATGGGAACAGCAATGGCCACAGGCCTCTTCTCACATTGCAGATCCGGGAAAAGGTTAGCTCAAGAACACATGCTCCAAATTGATCTTAATATGGGCTGAGGAAAAGGTCAAGGAGGGCTACTGGTCCACTATGTCATAAGAGACATCAGCTGCGAGAACGAGAGAGCAACTAATTACCCAATAACACGCTAAGATGGACAGCGTTGTCACCTGCTCTTCCTCAAAGCTTGTTTAAATTTCAATCCCCCCCCCCCATCCATTCACATCACAACAATCACTTATAGCTTCCCTCTACCTCCTATTTCCCACAAATGAATGTTAATAATAATGTGTTGACCTTAGTCAAATCACTGTGTAAAAGACCCCTTCTTAAAGCAGAGAAGGTTTTTTCGAGTTAAATTTCGAGTTAAAAAGTCATAATTGAGAGATATAAACGGGCAATTCTGAGAAATAAAATCAAAATTGCGTGATATAAACTCGCAACTGCGAGACATAAACTCACAATTCAGACTTTTTTTCTCGCAATTGCGAATTTATATCACGCAATTCTGACTTTTTTTTGTCAGAATTGTGAGATATAAACGCGCAATTCTGAGAACATAAATTCCAATCCCCTCAAAATTGGATTTATAAACTCACAATGGCGAGTTAATCTCACAATTCTGAGAAAAAAAGTGAGAATTGTGAGAAAAAAGTCAGAATTATGAGATATAAACTCGCAATTGCAAGAAAAAAAGTGAGAATTGCACGTTTTTATCTCCCAATTGTGACTTTATATCTCGCAATTCTGACTTTATACCTCGCAATTGCGAGTTTATATCTCATAATTCTGTGGGAAAATTTCAGAATTGTGAGATAAAAAGTCGCAATTACCTTTTTTTTTTTTTTTTAATTCAGTGGCAGAAACGGGCTTCCATACCTTATGCCAGGGGTGGCGAACTCCGGTCTTGGAGGGCCGCAGCCCTGCAGAGTTCAGCTCCAACCCTAATTAAAACTCACCTGC